TTCCTGCACAGTCAAACTCCCCAGATCCGGACACCCCTAATCCGGGCATGTCCGTCCACCCGGCACCTTTCTGATCCATGTAGAGTCACAAAAATAGGCTTTTCAACTACACTAAAACCTGTCAAGGCCACCACTCGGATAAGGCGACCACCTGTCCTAGACGACCACTGAGACCAGGACCAAGGGTTGCTCTCTCCAGCGTCATGTCCCTGAAATAAGGAGACCACCTGGTTACAGAGACCACCTTTTGAAGGTCCTATGAGCGGTCGTCGTCTTAGACACGTTTCATTGTAAATACGGCTCCAAAATTTGATTGGCATAAGAAAATGTGTACTAATGTCTTGCATACAGTAAGTGTTTATATTCAGAGCTACGGGCAATTCCTAGTTACTGGCAGGGCTTGGTCCCGACCCTGCCCTGATTAGGGGAGTTCTGCTGTACTTTCCAGTGGTACTCTGGTGTGGGCCGGTGCGCATTTCTGCATCCCCACCGCCTCTTTATGTTCACAAGGAGCACGCGTTTCAAAGCCTGAAGTAGAAGGTCTCTGCTGGGATGACGCCAGCACCATAGCATCATAACATAGTGGTTGAGCATTGCTGACCTATAGTGAAGGTCCCTGGTTCGAGTCTCGGTGGTTACGGTCAATGTTTTCTTCGGACCTTAACTCTCTCTCTCTCTCTACTCTACTCTACTAATGGATGTGAAGCAGTCAATTTAAATCTCCTTCGAACAGGCAGTGAATGTGTTTAATCATGCCAGCAGCGGTTATTTCTGATATACGAAAATAGTTCTGAGTACGAGAAATAGGTCTCGGCAGTCACGCATATTTCTGATATACGAAAATAGTTTCTGAGTACGAGAAATAGGTCTCGGCAGTCACGCATACGTGCGTGCCGTCAGTGGCAGAACTCAGCCACCACACCTCACACTGTAATAGTACCTGTTGATTGAAAAAAGAGAGTTAAATGTCATCTCCGTTCCTGGAGGAGCTCACAGCTCACAGCACCCACTACGTGTACCATGGGAAATAATCCAGTAGATCTGGTGGTGCATACGTAACAGTGGACCAGGCTGGGAAGGATGCGTCACACCACATCTCACAATGACTGGCATAATCCATATTGTGCTCCTTGTGCCTGGTCACATTTACCCTATTGGCAGTTGGTAGCAGCACAGCTGGACAATCATGCTCGCATTCTGTAATGACTACGGATATAGCTAATGCAGCTGAGCACCTTCCTGGGAAAACGTTGGCAAACGTTTCATGCGACCTTTCATTACTCAAGGCTAGAACGTCAGAGTCTTATGAATCATTATTGAGCCTTTCTGTTGTTTCTATTGTTTGTTTTTTGTTTTGATTTTCTCCGCAGGGAGGCTGAACAGTGAGCACGACTACCGACTGGCCGAATATTTTAAAATCATTCAATCACCGTGCCCAGTGCCCAGTGCCCAGCTGCTGCAATTGCGGTCACGGCATTCTTGCTATTCGCTGTGATTTGTCTATCTACATGTATGTATGCCCATCTTTCCCCATGCCCATGGAGGAGCCGTTTTGCGATTCCGTGATGACTTCATTTTTTGTTTTTCGTTTTTTTGCTGTCCAAGATTGGCTGTTATCACGACCTCACAGTCAGTCACCAATACCCTGTACTCGAAACTGTGATTCTGCAGTTGCCATGGCAATGACGTTAGTCATTGCATTCGTCTGAGTCGCACCGCAAACCAATTGACAGGCCGAAATAACGTTGTGCACAAGCACACTTGATTCTTTGACTCTTTGCCGTGATAATGATGCAGACTTTATCCGATGGACCTTTCCTCTTTTATTTTTTTATTTACTTTTCCTCTTTCAGGTCGTCTCCTTCCACTGTTTGAGAGTGGCAGACTCAACTGAGCGTTATTATGCTCTACAACCATAATTTAATCCTTAGACATTTGAAATTCTCCCATGTCCCTCTTAGAGATTTTACTTTTTCTTTGGTTGTGTGTGTGTGTGTGTGTGTGTGTGGTGTGTGTGTGTATGTGTGTGTGTGTGTGTGTGTGCGTGTGTGTGTGTGTGTGTGTGTGTGTGTGTGGTGTGTGTGTGTGTGTACGTGTGTGTGTGTGTGTGTGTGTGCGTGTGTGTGTGTATGTGTGTGTGTGTGTGTATGTGTGTGTGTGTGTGTGCGTGCGTACGCGCGTGTGGATGTGGGTGTGCCAGTGAATGTATTTCCCTAGCTGTGTTGAGCTCCGCTTTCAGTTTTAGGATCATGACACGCTGGAACGCGGATGTGCTACACCCCCCCCCCCTCCCCATTTTTCATCTTATCTGCAGGCAGATTTGCTCATCCTCGTCTTTATATTTTCATCTCAATTTGCTATTTTTCTGATGCTTTCTGCTTTCATGACGATAGCAGGCATTCTTCACTAAAGCATTGTCTTTCATGTCGTAGCAATAATTTTTATTGGTAGTTGCCGACATACTGTGTTTTTTTTTCTCTACGAAATCTACATATCTCCAGCCACTGGGGTGAGTAATGGAGTGTGATGGTGGGGCACATTTAAGGCCGGTATTACACTACGGCACGCGCCTCGCGTCTCACGTCACGTGCTCCGTCTCACGGCAGAGCTCGGGGGAAAACGCTGACCTGCCCTCGAAAGCCCAAGTCTGGATTTGCTCACGGCACGGCTCGCGTTTGGATCACGTGACCCGAAACCGTCAGAATCTGATCAAACTTGAGCTAGACAGTAGTGTAAACGCGAGCCGCGAGTCGTAGTGTATTCTAACAGCCTAAGCTCATCCGACCAGAGTGTCCTGACCTGACAGTTTATACTGTGTGTTTTGTGTGTTCTTTGCTTGGCAAGCTTTTGAGCCGATGTATGGCATTCATGGGATCCATGGATGCCTCCCAGGTTGCGAATGCCTGTCTGCTTCCGCAGTGTCAGACCGTGTTTGCATGCATGTCCGAAGTGGATCGTAGAGAGCATTAATTTTCACATACTGTAAAACCAAAAAGTTTAACGTTCTTGTAATTTTGGCTTAATTCCGTGCAGAAAGTTTAACGATGGCCACCTGGCCACCCATCTGTATGCGCATATTTACACAGACATCTCAAACCGGGCTCGCCATAAAGTTTCTTCAAATAACGAAATATAATTGGTCGTTAAAACTTTAGACTTTGTGACTCGTTAGACTTCCCCGTTTTACAGTATGCATTGTCATCTCGAGACAATCTGAGGGTAGCGGTCCTACTAGTACTAGCGGATACGCGTTGTTATCAGGCAGCTCATAGTCATACTCCGTGATAATGGTGTTGAAGACTCCAGTACCGCACTTGACTGCGAACCGAGAAGTCAACCCCCCCCCCCCGTCGCACATCTGACTGCAAAAAAACATGCCACAGCTCACCAAATCAATACAAGGTAAGGGTCCTTGTCACTCAACGGTTGAGTCGATTGAGCTACATGTAGCTGTACTCCCTGTGTCCAGGCTAGAGGCGGGCTCACAGTCACACCCCGGTAAGGCAACTTACTTCCCCATGTGTCAACCCCCAAGGCCAAGATACAGTCCATGCTGCCATACTGGTCGCAATTAAAAAAAATCATCCTGATCACGGCTCCAGGCTGAAAATTTGGTTGAGATTATAGAACTTTTCTAATTGTCCGCAAACTCCAACGCAGCCACTTACACATTTAAACTTCACTTCTCAATTCCAAAAACGGTCTCTTCACTGCGATTGAAACCAAAATTAAAATTAACATTAAAATTAACAAATTAATGTTAAAAGGTACATGTAGCAGCCTACTCAAAAATTTCATATGGCATTCAATTGACCGTAACTTTGGTGTCTCTCAATGGATTTGAGTGAAATTTTTACCACACACTCCTGCCACTATGCTGGCCCTTTGAACATGATTTAAAAGTTCTTGCGCCTCACTGACAGGCTTTCCAGGCCGGAAAAGCTCAAAATTCCGGCATAGTGCCACGGTATGCGAGCCACCCAGGAGCCAAAAAAATGCATTTACAATATTTTCCACATTTTTGTGCCCATTCTGTCCGTGCGCGGGATCCAAACCTAAAACAAGTCCAGAAGCAGCCCATGGCCCGGGTGGTGGGATAGAGCCCCTCAACGTGGCCCTGGAAGTGGAATCTGTCACAACGGCAGGAGTGGGCGTTCTCTCACAGACTCCCAAAGACGCAAGTCAATTTTTGAATTTTTTTAGGTTTAGCACATGCTACAAATTCGTACCTTTGATACAACATCCAGTGCTGGGACCTCCACAGCAAGCCATTTCCACAGCGCTGCACACCAAATCCAGGGTACCCTCAAAAATCGGCAAAGACTACCACCCACGTTCCACTACTGCCTAGTACTGAATCCTACCTGACTTCTTGACACGACTCAAACTTGCCAAAGTCACTAAATCAACGTCAACTACTGTCGTGGACATGGACATCCGGTCGCACTAGCGGCCTTAGGCCAGGGCGCTGGCCATGGAGCTGTGGGCAAGCACACATGTACATGCAGCCTGCACTCCTGCATGCTGCAGTGCGCTGGTCGCATCGGATCAAAATGACTGTCCACTGCATGCATGCAACGACTACGTTCTGGACGCACTGAGGGCGCCGGCCCCGGTCAATCGACTGGGTTTCCATGTCCAGTACAGTACAATAATCAAGCCACATTGTACATGTATCTGCAACGTCACGAGGGTGCTGGCAAAAGTCCTGCAGCCCAATACGTGGCTCAAAAACATAATTTTTTGGAAATTTCTCTAGTAGAAATAACACTAAGAACAACAGCAGTGAAATTTACAAGTGTGTAACAATGAAAGCGAGAGCAATAACGAATGCGTGTGCTAACAATAAACTTGCAAATGGAAAAATGAACAAACAAGAGAAAGAAAGAAGGAAGGACAAAGTGATAACGCATAACAGCAGTACATTTCACCTAGAACATTAACGGCCAAGCTTGGCCGCACCAAAAACGACTGTTTCACTGCTGTTGTTCTTAGTGTTATTTCTCTAACTTAGATTTTCTATAATGTTTTGTTTTTTCACGGCTGAGCGTAGCGAAAGAGTGCAAAAAAACGTATTTTTCACTCACAAATATTTTCGTGCATTTGCTCTTGTTCTGCGCAACTCCGTTGAACCTGCCATCGTGGTCTTTGTTTTTCCTCATGGTATCGTGAGTGTGATTGCTCTGGTAGACCACTACCCCATGTACTGAACAGTCGCTTTGTGAGTGAAAAAGTTCAATTTTGTTTCAGTGTCCTTTATTACAACGACGATTCCTGATGAGTGTTGTACGAAAACTTGTTTGAATCCATATTTTTTTCTCTACACCATTTCTTCATAATTATTTTCATCGTTTTATTGCACATCGTCTCCACCGTTTTACATTGCACGATGGAATGTGGCCTCTAATTTCCCAACAAATGTCGGTTCAGCTCATTTTATTGATTGCGGTTATCAAATTATTGTCTCCTCGACGTTTGTTCTTGGGCACAGCTACGGATATAGTGGCTGGCGAGGTGGTGGGACTAGTTCCTGGTAGTTGAGCAGCCATTCTACTGGCCTGTGTTGCCAGAAATAATAAATTCGCCCTGGGAAAGAAAGCCAATTTTTGTTTCTGATGCAGATTTGGTCCAAAGCTAAAATCTACGCTCAGCAAGCCAATCCAAAGGGGAACGATGACAAATTTACTTCTGTAACACCAAGTCAAGAGAGATCAGTCTGTTCGCTCGCCGTCAGACTGGACCTAGGATAGAATAGGATGAGGCAGAAAACCTGCACAGGCAGGACGAGGAGAGAGAGGAATCTTGGTGCGTTCCCACTGCGATGACAATTGACACTGCCAATGGTAGAGAAAGCAAACAGCCACCTGCTATCATTAGCACATTCTACGCGTAACCATATACGCGTACCCGCCATTTTCGAACAACCAGTGCAGCACGTCCTTCCCTCGTGTACTACTGCCGTGCACGTGAACCCACTTCAACCCACAACCCAGTAGGCTCCGGCGGATTATGCTCGCGAAATCATGGAATTATGCTTTCATGGATTCTCGGAGTCGCATTATGCTCGCAAAATCATTATTATGCTTTGGCACGTGGGGATACATATTCACTTTGTTGCACTTATGGAGCCTCAAACTTCGGAAAATTGTGCCTTTTTGTACTTGCAAGTGGCCATTAGTACAACAAAATACATGAATATCCCCATACCAAGATGACCATGCATGCTAGAGATCAACATGGAAAGGAGAAAACATGACTTCTTCTAATCATTAGTTGATTTCTTCTGTAATTTTCATTGCCAAAATTTAATTATTTTGAGTTACCTTTGAAAATTATCATGTTCAACTGTCTTCGTAATCGTCATACTCGTCCAACCGATGTCACCCTCACCCTGGGAATAATCAGCTCATCTCTCCCGTAGCTCCACCTCTCCTTCCACCATGACGGAACATCAACTATACCTCATTTGTTTAATTATTAGAGCAATAACCATATCTTGCACAGTCGATGGCCTCCTCCAGCGCGCTTCTTTGCGGAAAAGTTGCGAAGTAGTTGTTTGTGAAAATGAAGGAAGTTGCGATTTCTTCCAAAACAACGAAAGTTGCGAAAAAAGTGGTGAGCATCTTTGGAAAAGGGCTACTCCGAACCCTTTACCATGCAGACCACCAGCACTGACCAGGTGCATTGTACACAATTGTGTAGCTTACATACTAGAATTGTATGCCGGATCACGTGAATCATTTCATTTGCTGGCGGCCCGGGGAGTGGCGGGCGCGGGCGCGGGCGACGGGCATGCAGTACAGCACGGGCTCCGCGCCGCATCGCTGATGAGGTCCGCTGATGGCATGATATGATGCCTGGTCTCCAGGTCTCCGCTGCGAGTGCTGTTTGCCTTGTTATTGTACAGTATACTGTATAGTGTACCTCCTGGACATCCTGCATGGCACATTTATGTAACCGTCCGTAGTCCGTAGTTCTCCACATTCTATTATCTTCGAGTTTTTGAGTTTGCCACATTCTTGTGATGTAATCTTCGGTTGAGTTTGTCTTACACATCGTAGCACACGTCCACACGGCCGACCTTGGATCGTCAGGTCACTGGCTAGCTCAGCTTGTGGCGCATCGTGACACATTTCTCTGGTGTTTCTGCAAAACCTTTGCTTTTCACTAAATCCCAACAAATACTTGCACTCTTCTCATGAGCTCACCGCTCTGCTGTCTGCACTTCCCTTTTTTGTCTCTCAAACCCACAAGCTCAGTAGCTAGGTTTGAAATTTGCACCCTCCTGCGGAGCCCACGCTGCTTTGGCAGTGGCGGAGGCTCGCTTGCCGACGTAACCGTCGGAGATCATCATGAACAATGGACTGACTAATTATTCACTTGTCCTGTCTTTATAAATAACATGTTATTGCATATGTTCTTGGTTTAGTTTTTGGCCTTTTTCGTGCTTTGGAGTTGATAACATTTTCCTCACTGCGGTGAAAAAAAAAACCAAGCTCA